TGAGAGTAAATTAAAGGAAAACAGAATCTGACATATTTGAATTTCACCAAGTATAAATGTGACATACATTTACATGTCCGACTAAAGGAGGTTTTACTCATTCAGCAAGGCAAAGCGATTTGAAAAGGCAGAGATAAGCAGGTTCAACATCGGGCTGTATCAATCTTTGCTGAGGAGAAAACTCAGTTGAAGTATTTTCTCATCAACTTCTCAAGCGTTTTCTCCCCCCAAGGTCTATTTTGTGATTAATAATGCATGAGATGCTTTCAGTGGGTGATCAGGTTCTGCTGCAGTGAAGATAGCCAAGAACAGAAAAAAGGAGATAGAAAAGCAGAATATGGTTTGATAAGTCAGATGTGAATGTGTCCGAGGTAAAGCTTTCTGATCGTCATCCTCTAATCCTCTGCCTCTTCATTTGGTAAAAAGACGACTTTATTACCTTGAAGTGTCGTTCAAAACAAAAGCGCCAGTGTTTTTTTGTCCTGAGTGGAACGAAGAATCAGATTATTTGTAATGAATCGTTTATTGAAATAATCTTCAACTAATTTAGCAATCGATTAATCGTTAACTGTATTAATTAATCAAGGGATGGCCATTTTCTGGAAAAAACCACCAACATATTCAGAGCATAATTACACCAAACATGGAAAAAAATTATATACACTTTGCATTTTGGATTAAAAAAAAGTCTGCAGAATGTCATGTTTTAGTCTTGTCAAAGTTTTCGATAGCTAAAATAATATTTAGTTGCAGCCCTAAAATATTTTCACAACTAAGGAAAGTGCTAAGAAATTCCTGAAATGTACTCTTGCCTCTGGTGGTCTTTCCCAAACATGAGCATTACATCATTTTTTTTAATTTCTGTTTTTTTCTTTTATTACTTTTCTTCCATCTCCAGAAATTTACCGCATCGTGTCACAGAAGCAGATAGCCGACAGATCCGCGCACGACGAGTCTCCGGGCAACAACGTTGTAGACATAAGCGTCCCGCCGACGACCGACGGCCAGAGAGGCAACAAACTGCAGTGCTGTCAAAGCCTGTGACGCTCAGCCTGAAGACACTCACCCTCCTCCTCCTCTTCATCACGCCACCAGTGCACTTTTATTTCCCACGCAGCTCCCTTTCAAAGCCAGCTTCTTCTTTTTCTTTATCTCGCTCCATTGTCTTCTGTTTTTTTTTTTTCTTCTTTTTTTTTTTTTTTGTGGGCACTTTTTCTGAATCCGTTTCGTTTTATGTTGTAGGAGTACTTTCAAAGTCACTTGTTGCTCTTCTCTCCCGCCGTGAGGGATTCATTTCAGAAGCCTTTCAAGTCCATGGATCAGCCCGCTGGGTCGATCGTGGAGTCAGAGCGAAGATCCCTGCCAGGCAGGAACGCGGCCGCCGCTAACTTCAAGAAGCCCACATGAACCGCACAGCGAGGTCAGGAAACACATTTTAGCGGTTGCCACTAGGTGGTGCTGTGCAAGATGAACTAAACAGAGTTACTCCAGCCTGAGGAAGCAGTATTATGTATTTTGACGGTGTGCTTCTTACTTCCATCTGCCATCATGCCAAAAAATATTCTCACTAAGTATTTATTGAAGAAATGTTGGCTTCGTTTGTCATTGTCTTACTTTCAGGTGAAGAACTGTGTAAATTTACAATAAAACTCTTGACTGAAGCACTTTGTCGGACGTTGCGTGTCCTTTCTGAAAAACAATTTCTACTTTAATGGAAATTATAAGCACGTTCTAGAGCAGGCCAACCTTAAATTGGGAGGTTAGTAATGTATTGTTGGACAGTGGATGATAATAAAAGCACTGAAATAATAGCATTTGATCAAAAGCTCAATCTTTTTTCCATTACGTCTGTTTTATTACAGTTTTCGCTCTAAGGAAAACAAAAACCACCTGCATAGACGTCCGAAACATTGATGTGCTCGAGTATGTTTTAATGCAAAACATGAAACTAATCCCAGGTTAGTGAGACGGCGAGAGCGGCTTGTTTATCATCTTCCTGGTGTTTTCAAAGACAGTGCAAACACTTCTCTGCGCAGTAAACAAAGAGCTGAGTTTTTGGAAGTGAAGTCAGAAATGAAAAGAGCAAAAACACAATTTAGAGGCCTCTCTCTTGCTCTCGCTGGGTAAGTAAAACATGTCGTAAAAATCGGAACCATCAGTACCTTGCAAAAGGATTCCTCAGAAAAATGCACCAGGCAAAACTTCCACATGTTCTTCTGCGTAAAATCCGTTTGTTCTGTGAATGTGTTGGTGGATTGTCAGAGAACATTTTGAAGGAAACACGGCAGAGTTTTGGACAAGTTTAAACCAGAGTTGGATTATAAAATATCTCACAGTCCAGCTGGATCCACCGTCTAAAAAGGAAAGAGCGCAGCTCAGCTTCAGACCCGACAAAAACTCTTGATTGTTTTGCAAGTTATGGGCCAAAACGATTAACTCAATCAACTTTCAGGACAAAACATATTATTTTTAAAAATAAAAGAATTTTATTGAGAATATTTTTCTCTCTTGGCAACGAACAAAGCAAACTTTATACAAACTTGATCAAATATTTTTTGTAGGAAAAGAATATAGATCATCTCAGATCCAAAGCTTCATAAGGGTATCGCATGTTTTAAATGAAGAGAAAGGCAAACACTTTATTCATTTCTTTTTGGGCAATAGAAACATGATTTGAATCACTGAAAACTCTTGGTGTATTTGGCCAGGTTTCAACAAGGTCATTAAAAGCAGATTTGGGTACAAAAGACGGTGGATAGAGACGCTTCTGCGGAGATCAGTAACAGGAAAGCAGAAAACTTGGTTGTTGTTTAAAAGGTGAACACTTTGTGTTTTATCCAGCAATTCTGAGATTTTCTGCTGTGGGTCACAGAAACCCAAATGGTCAAGATATTACTGAAGAGGAGCATTTAAAATACGACGAGCACCAGGAAGGTGAAATGAAGGTTTGTGAAGTTTGTGTTTTTAAAGTGAGAAAAGCTAAATGATAAAAGCAATTTTTATAGAAATTTTGCTCACATGTCAATCAGAATTTTACAAAAAAATAAAAGATAGTTTGCTTTTTTTCATTTAAAATTGACATTTTCAAGTAATGGATAAAAATCAGTATATATTTGAGGATTTAGGGAACAATGTATGAAAGTAGCCTGAGACGGCCAAGGATGCAAAAAGCTTGGTTTTGTTTTTAACCTTTTGCCATCAACAACAGCAAATCTAATACTCTGAGCTTCAACTAAGAAGCTTATGCAGAAGCCTGAATGAGTAGATGTGACTTATTCCATAGTAAAACCTGAGATTAGTGGTTTGTTTTCCATCAGGATTAGCGAACAGACGACCCCTCCTTCGCCAGAGTTAAAGGATGAGATGTAAACAAGCTTATGAAACTGCAGGGTCTTCAAACCAGGAGACGCTTTTGCTGGAAGCACAACAACACGACCGGCTAATGATCACAGGCGACACTTCCTTGATTAATACCCACGCTGCATTTATTATTACATTTTAGCAAACAATTGGTGGCTGATTGAAGGTACCAGGATTTTTAAAAAGACATCCTGTAGTGTACCAGAAAACAACGTGATAATATAAACAAAGACCTGCAAAACTCAACCTATGGAGTAAAAATCCTGCCTCTTTAAAACAAACCAAACACAAAAATACAAACAGGACAGAAGTGTTAGAAAAACGAGTGACATTTACATTATTTACAATCTCTTGGGCGACATTTTATGGGTTGAACACACAGATTGACCACAGCGCAGAGAGACGCCTGAGGGAAGTGGGTGATGATTTTTACATCTCTATGGCAACGCTGCAGCCAAAATGGGGGCAGTTTTGCATAATTTTAGACACTTAATACAAGAGACGTCAATCCATTTCTTTGTTGCTCAACACTGATGGCCGCTGGTGTTTACGATGAGCAGGAAATCACAGCCACGATCCAGTGAAGTCTCAGCAAGGATATTAAATGCATTATTTATTTAAAATAACCAGTCATCAAATATTAACTGGTAGAAGCTAGTGTAAACATTATTGGAATATATATATATGTGTGTGTGTGTGTAAAAATGTAATAATCAAATACCCTTAAAACAATTTTCTGTTATACAAAATCTCCAGCAGAAGCATTTTGTGGCACAATTTCACATCCTGAAAACTTGAAAAATAAAACCGTTTCATCCGCCCGGTTACTGTAAACTTAAAGTGTTTGAAACCAAGCTTTCCATCCTGAAATTGCAACAACACCGCGCTTGGAAAAAATAGATCCATCTACAACGTAAACATGCATGATCACTTGTGTGATAATAGCAAACTAGTAAGTCTGATCCAGGCGCATGAAAAATATCTTGATAAAAACTGCAATTTATGGCATTAACTTCACTTGATGTTTTAGAAACCTGGCAGTTTGGTTGAGATGTTTTACTGCTGCTGTTTGGACATTTTTTTGGTTTAATGGCTGCTTCAATAAATATCAAAAATGTTTAAATTAGCTGTGAAATACCAACAGCGGACATATCAGCCTATATAACAACAGGAAAGTTTTATTTTTAAGGCATTGTGTTTGTGAAACTTTGACAAACAGGTGATAGAAATACTGTCAAAAAAATAAATACAGATGAGTTTTTTTCTATATATTTTTTTATCCTTAAATGGAATACCACAAAATATTGTAATAAGCTCGGTGTATAGAGGACGCATTGAACTGGGCGTGAGGAGGCGCGCAGGAAACACGCTGAAACATTTTCACTCCAACTGGACGGTTTGGAGGATGTGCTTGTGGAGCAGATCTTCCTGCATTTATATGAACCCTCTGGAGCAGGTGTCAAACTCAAGGCCCCGGGGCCAAATCTGGCCCACTGTAGCTTTTTATGTGGCCCTCTAGAGTCCAAATTACATCAATAAATCCATCCAGATTTTCACAAATCCTCAAAATTCACATAAAAAAAACCCAGCAGATCCCCCATTGTTTCTGATTTCAATTATTTCTCAAATTTGTCAAAAAAAAAAGTCTAAGTGACTGCTGCCCAATCCTTACTTGATGTCAAGAAGGGAAAAAAAGATATTTATCATACTCAAATATCACAAAAATTCCTTACAAATATTTCTAAATTAGCATCAGAAAATTAGTGATTTTGATAATAAAAATCCCCCCAAAAACCAATCACAAGATCCTGGAGAGACATGTTAATATTTTAACAGTTTAATGCAGGAGTGTCAAACTCCAGGCCTGGAGAGCCGCTGTCCTGCAGTTTCTAGATGAGCCACAAAACACTGGAAAAAAATGGCTTCATTACCTCCTCCTTGTGTAGATCAGTTCTCCAGAGCCTTGCTAATGATCTCATTATTCTATTCAGGTGTGGTGCAGCGGAGACACATCTGAAAGTTGCAGGGCCGTGGCCCTCCAGGACTGGAGTTTGACGCCTGTGGTTTAATGGGTTTTATCAATGCACTCTGGCACAACCGGCCCTTTAAGAACATCCAGATTTTTGATACGGCCCAAAATGAAACAGAGTTTGACACTCCTGCTCCAGAAGGCTCACATTAAGAGAATACTGCACCGAGGTAGGCGTCCAGATCGCCAACCACGAGTCTGACCATCCCAAAACTGATTCCAACAGCAACGTTGAACTCAAAACAGAGAGTATGCTTCTGCAATACTCTAAATTTAAATTTATATAAAAAAATGTTCTTTTAAAAGCCATTTTATTTTCTGTCCCTCTAAATAAACACTGTCATGTTAAGTGCTGACGATACGGAGACCTTGCTGGCAAAGCCTGCTGCGGCTGGAAAACAGGAAATCCAGACTAAAGTGAATTTAAAAATACGGCGACAAAAAAAAAAAAAAAAGCCCCTAAAAATCACTAATTGTGAGGTCAACATGCATAACTGTGCATGTTAGTATCTTTGTTTACAGTATAAGCCTCAATTTCCACATTGCTGTTATTGCACAATCTCATGTTACACACTTTGAGTTGCACGTTTAAACTCAAACTGCATTATCAACATCTGGGTTGTGAAGCATAAATCAGACGGGAGGTTTTTTTTCCCCAACCTGCTCCAGTCACAGTAAGATGAGAGCTACAAACGAAGAGAAGCAGAGCAGGTTAATGCACGGCAACACAAAACACCCGCTTAGGGTGCAGTTGCCGTTTTCGTCACGCTGCGAAATCATTCTGAATGAGGTTTCCTTTAAATACTGTTAAAGACGTTAGTTACAAACTGGGTCTTTTCATGGCTGCTGGTTACAGCTGGCGGGGCTGTGCAACACTTCAGGGAGTGAATACTTTTGTAAGAGAGGTTGTCAAACTACCGGCCACGATTACAGCAATCCATTCATGGTTAGCAGGACCCTCATCATCCTCGCGTCCATCATGATGAGTCGTGTGCTTCTGAACATCACATGCTGCCTTCGTCTTTTCTGTTTTGTTTTCTTGCATAAACTTTATCAGACATCCAGCGATGTAAAACAGAAGGACTCGATTTAAATGCGTTCCTGCATTTGTATGACAGAGTGAAAAAATATGCAAAGAAGAAAGAAAGCGATAAAAAGTAAAACAATTTTTTTTTTTTTAAAAAGCCCAAAAGTGCTTCTTCGAAGTCCAGCCAACAAACGTGATGCAAGCTTCCCACTTGCCTCCATCTTCTCTCATACTATACTCTCACTGGCAGACTTCTTCAGTTTGTTAGAGAGCAAGGAATGCTGGGAAGAGCTGGACTCCTTGGCTTCGGGAATGAGAAGGCGCACTTTCTGATTCGTTCTTCTCCACTCAGAGTAGAGCTGACAGTGGTAGCGGAAAGAGACCTGGCGGACGGAAACGCGGAAGAGACATCAGCAAAGGCAACAGGTTTTTTTGGGGTTTTTTTTTTTGCAGCTGGGCTGCGTCGGGAGTCATGCTCACCAGGGTCCAGAGGACGTAGATGGTGAAGAGGGCGATGGTGAGCGCGATGAGGCCCACGGCCTGCAGCCAGCTGCCCATGCGAAGGTGGTCCTGAGCCCCCCTCAGGCACAGCCAGCCGGAGATGGCCGCCAGCGGCGTGATGAAGAGGAAGCACACCATGTCGCAGAACAGCGTCCGCTTTTCGTTACGGGGGCCGGGGTCCTGCAGCCACTGTGGAGCGGGGAAGTGAAAGGTCAAAAACGAGAGTGGAAGAAGAGCGACATTGCAGATCTTCAAGCATAAAGTTCCCCGCAGATGTGCTCACACCCCATGGAGATTTGTCATTTGTTTTACTTTATTAAGATGTGTGACTCAACAAAACATGATGTGTAATTGTATAAATAAGGAAATGTAAGACATGAGTGAAGAAATACAAATAATGTTTTGTATTTAAGTTTAAATACAAAACATTTAGATTTAAAAATTGAGGTTTGCACACACGCTACAGTCAGCCTGACTAAACCCGAGTCATCTTCCAGAGAAAGATGGACAAATTTCAAGCATGCAGAGACGAGGTTACTTCAAAGAACCTGAGAATCAAATGACGGCGAAAAGTGGAGATGAATTCAAAATGCGCACTAGATTTTTCAAACTTATTTCAACTAAGTATGACAAAAACATAGGGGGAAATAAAAAAAGTGCTAGAATGAAAAGTTTTGCAAGGCCAACGAATGAGACGAGAAAGAGAAGACGGATGCAGACGGACGACGCTGGCGACGGTTACCTCTGTGAGCGGCTTGGGTCGCCTCTCGATGCTGAACTCCGTGTGACAGAGCTCGCAGTAGCTGGTGTTTGACGACGACAGCCACTTCTCCAGGCAGCTCTTGTGCACCGTGCCCAGCGTGCCCGTGCAGTCACACGGGGACAGGAGGCCCTCGCTGCTGCCCCCCTCGTGGCAAATGCGGCAGATGGGACCGTCGCTGATGCAAACGGACAACATTCATTCAAATAACTCCCCCTGAATCCGTTTGTCGCCACGTTGAGATGCGCGACAAGTCCGGGTCTCACCTTTGTACGCTCATAGGTTTGAGCACGGAGGACAGCAGCCGCCCGTCTAGCGCCGTGACCTGAGTGACGTAGAGGGCCTGGCATCCTTCGCCGCCCGCCTCCTCGACAATCTTCCACATGCCCGCCATGCCGGCACAGTCGCACAGGGAGCCGGGCAGGTGGCAGCACCCGCCTGTCGTCATGGTCGCCTCGTCCGCCACGTCCAGACGCTGGCCGTACAGGCAGAAGCGATGGCGTCGAGGGATGACAAAGAGAGAGAACGCCTGCAGCTTTCCACCAGAGAACAATGGCTCTACAGAGAAGCAGACATGCAGAGGTTTGATTGAGTTTGGTAAAAACTAAATAAATTCAGTTTGAAAAGGAAAAAAAAGAAAAAGTCCCGGTCTTTCTCATTAACTGTGCATGTTACTGAGAAAGACGGGCTCCTTTTGCCCATACGGATTTCCTACCACTCGACATTTAAAAAGAGGAGCTAAACTAACCAGAAAAAAAGGGTATTTTATGTTCTAAAATACAACAGATTTTTGCATCTCAAGAAACTTGAATGTCACTGAAAATATATTATTTCTTATGATTCTGACAATTATGGCTCACAGACAGTGAAACCCCAATATTCAGCGCGTCAGAAAATTAGAGATCATAATAAAAAGTTGTTTTTATTTGTTGTTTGTTTTTAAACAGAAACGTCAATGAGGTTTCTCATTGGCGTGTTCATTTCTATGCACTCAATATTTGGTTGGGCCTCTTTTCACATGAATTCCTGCATCAGTGGCGAGATGCCAAGTTGGAAAATGACATCGGCATATCAACAAGGCAGAAGGAAGAGAGATGTTCTCTAGAATTTCCTGTCAGGCGGCTGCGTCTCGACTGTGGACTTGATAAAAACGCAGCTGGCCAACACCGGATTGACTACAACTCATCACCGGCTGTGGGAACTTCACGCAGTTGGAATGCAAACTTGACGTTCTTCTGAAAACTGAACCACCAAGCAACAGTGATGATTTTTCCCTCAGCTCAGGTCTGACTTTCTTTCTGGCTCAGGAGTGACTTGGCAAATGGGACAATTGTAGTCCGTGTGTAAGATTAATTTGAGCATTGGACTCCTGAATGGATTTTGCTCCTTTTGTCGGTACAGCTTTCCTACCACAGAACTTTTGATGAATATGTATTTATACACAGCATTCTGATCAGTTTCTTTGGTTATGGAGGGGTCAAAACTCTGAATTTGAACTACATATACAACATATCACAACTCTATGTATTAAATTAAGTGAACCAAACTAAAGTAGTTCAAGTCAATCCAAACTAACCAATCAAGGCAAACAAACAACCAAACCAGAAATCCAAGTGGAAGAGAGGGAAGGGATAGGTTTTGAAAGTTTTGTGACGCATAATACATTTAAGTCATGATCATCAAAATTACAAGAAATAAAGGCTTAAAATATTTTGCTATGTGTGACTAACATAGGCGCCTGGCGTCACTCATTTCAGAATGAGTGACAAATTATCAGGCATCTTTTTATGATATTCAGTTTTTGTTTATTTCCAATGTACCTGCATGCTATTAGGGGTTATTATTGCACAAATGAGGAGAATCTATTCATTTCTTCTTCTTTTTTTGACTGATACAAGTTAAAAGAGGAAGAAACAAAAAACATAAGAAAAAAATACTTGTTTGGTACATGAATAACAATTGATTTATTTCTGACAGTTTCAGTCTTTTTCCTCTGGTCTTCATAGGATTACATAACACTCCATGCATTCATCTTTACATACTTGCATAAATTAACTCTTAAAAAGACAGATTATGCTTACTATCAAAAACAAACGTGTTAGATCATGTATTATTATGCACTAAACCTTTTTTTTTGAGTAAATGATGTAAAATGGTGGTATTTTTACTCAATATTCCCAGAGAAACCATGAATGCATTTCCTGCCACGTCAGCAGAAACATTCTTCTTATGTTTTGCATCGTCTATGAGATATTTTGGAAACAGACCAGTTTTTTTTTCCCCCCCCAAAGCAGTTGTTAATCTTTTCCAAAAGACCAAAGTGATGTCAGCAGCCGTGACTGAGATGTGTGGCCCAATGATAACCAGCTGCTTGTCTCCAGATGACCCACACAGGAGACCGAACCGGCTATATTTGGGGCCACAATTGCATCTCAGCCAAGCAAATTGGGGTGTCTTGCATATTTATTGCAAGTGAACGAGACTAACAGAAATGTGAACTTGCTGATAAATTTCAGCTTGGACATGCATGTCCCATCATTCTTTAATAGACGGGGAAAAAAATCATCTACTCAGTCTAAAACAAGTGATATATTGAAATAAAATAAATACATTAATTACTTAATCTGAGATCTATGGTAACTTTTATTAATGCAACAGAATCTCCACTACAGACCAGACAAAAGTCTCCTGAATCTACAGCTTCAAGCTTAAGGGCCCAAATTTCAACTTCCTTCCTGTATTATTGAGCAAATAAGTTGTTGCCTTACTTTGGGTCGTTGCTCGTGTAGACTGAAAACATGGGGCCACGATTAGGACCGTGTCACAATCCCTGACCCAGATAAACAAAGAGGTAACCCTCCTCCTCCTCTTCCTCTCCAAATCACAAACAGCTAAACCTAATCATTTATTGTCTGTTTGGACACGGGCGCCGTGTAAACACTGGGACTAAACCAGACACGTCTCGTTTTATTTAAGATAGACGCGCGGATTTAAAGAAAATAAGGCACACTGGTGGGAAACAAAAAGAGAGTAGTGAACGTAAATGTTGAGGTGGGAATGTTTTCTTTCTGCTCTGGCTTTCAGCGGCTCATGTTACAGCTGCAGACAGATGTTGGGGGCTTTGACACAGGCTATTGTCTGGAGCTCAGCAGCGGCGTCCTGATACCGAAAGCAAACACCAGCAGAAAGGCAATGGTTCATGACGAAAAGTCCTGCTAATAGCTGAGCTATCACGCGACATTAACAGCTTCTCTATGTTTTCCGGGTAACAACAAACACGGTAAATAGCTGAGCTGTGTTAGCTAGCTGTCAGTGTGTCTGTTAGCCGTTAGAGGCTAAAGGACATGGAAGCTAACAGCTACTCACCTTCTTCGGTCTTCAGTGACTTTTCAGGGCAGCTTTTATCTGCGCCCCTTCAGCCTCGCTTTGTCTCCTCACTCCATGTTCACTGTAGGTCCGAAGGAGCAACGAAACAAGGGTGCAGCAGCTCAGCCAGAGCCGCGCTAGCCAAACTACAGCGCCTCCCTGTCTGTCCTGTCAGCTGATAACTCGGCCCAGACCAGGCTTCCGCTTTCTGGGGCTTTAAATACCGAGGATCAGCAGCATCACCACCACCTTTTACAGTCTGGATCTGCGGTCAGGGAAGGCGTGCACTGCCCGGAGGAGCGATGGTGGATTCAGGTTTTAGAAGTATGGTGAGAATGGTGGTGAAAAAGTAAAAAAAAAAAAAAAATAAATAAATAAATTATATATATATATATATATATATATATATATATATATATATATATATATATATATATATATATATATATATATATATATATATATATATATATGTATATATATGCATATATATATATATATATGTATATATATGCATATATATATATATATATATATATACATATAGATAGATAGATAGATAGATAGATAGATAGATAGATAGATAGATAGATAGATAGATAGATAGATAGATAGATAGATAGATAGATAGATAGATAGATAGATAGATAGATATAATTGGTTTCACCAGTTTGTATCAAATGAAAGCCAAACATTCCAGGTTCCTATTTTTGAAATATTAAATTAAAATAAAATGCTTTTGTGTCAGTCTATCAAATAAAAATCGAAACACAAAACACATAGAGGTTTCTGGATGCTGCACAGTGGCAGCCTGTTTCTGAAGCTCTTATTTGTATTGGAGATTTAAACAGTTTTCATTGCTGAATGTGAATGTCTGAAATACTGACTCTCGGTTCCAAGCACAATGTTTTACTCAAGCTGGTTTGCAAAAAGAAAGTGAAGCTACTGTGTGACGGCTCAGCAGTTAGAACATACTGTATAGCATGTCAGCTGTGTCAACTGTGCATTAAAACAAGTTCAGATTATAATTTCAGCGCAATGTTTTAAAGATGTTTTGTTGTTTCGAAATGGTTATAGCCTATTAGAAAGTAGAGCAGCCATGCTTCCAGCACAACAGTATTTGTGTGATCAAGCCTCGGTTTGTTTTTCATTTGTAGAAACAATAAATTATCTTATAACCATAAAGAATCGATAAAATACAAACAAACCACGTTGCCGTCTTCTGTCGGTTCAGCGTATGGGTTAACTGTTTTTTTTTTTTTTTTTACAACAGAAGGACATGTTTTTGGCTCATGTGTTTTAACATGACTCTGCATGCAGAGTGGGAGAGCATTGGTGTTAGGAGCCACAATAAGACATTCATAGTGCTCCACTTTTTACACTTTTTCATGTTTCCTTCTTATTCCGAAATCATTTTTTCTCAAAATTCCGCACTGTAGAAATTATTAGTTTGTGGAAAAGGTCTTGATGCCTCTGCCTCCAGTAGAAGCTGGAGATGTGAGATAATGCAACACATAAATTGAGCATGTTTTAGGCAATTCCCTTCTGCCACACTGCCCGACTTATGATGTGATGAACTGGCTACTGCAGCATTTTGACGGCATGGCGGAGAACAAACTTCATGGCGGCCCTGAGGTGCAAACCACTTCAGCAAATTGAAAGCACAAATACAAATGACAAAAACACAACAACATTAGCAAATTTAGTAGGTATTTGGAGACATCGTCATCCTACTGACTCCAATTCACCTGGAGTAACAAAAGCTTTTCAACTCAATCAAGAATTGACTTCTCATAAGAAGATTCCTGTTATCTTTTTCTTTTGTTGCCTTTATTATTCTTTTTGCTATAATATACAATCTTCATATGTATTTGAATACATTTTTGACATGTTATGAAACCTAACTGAATAAGTACATATCATTATATTATACCAATGTATATACAATATATTTATTTAAATTTTGTCTTTCTAGACTTTCACATCAACACCCTCAATATCTGCAATTATTCTTTGTTTTTATTATATTTTAATATTTGACATTGATTTAACCTCTGTATGTATGCTCATGTTATTTGTTTGAAATAAAGTAAAAAAATTAAAATAAAAAAAAAAACACACGCAGATTGTTTTCATTCAAACTTGATGAGTTTGCCATTTGTTCTACTGAGGCTGTGACATCAGATTGTGACATCACGCTTTTCACTATGACATCCCAACACTGAAATCTTGAACTTTGGTTCCAGAAAGACACATTTAGTCAGTAAAGAGCTCGACAATTTCAGATTACTTTTGAATCTTGCTTCAACAAAAATGGATGGCGTCACTGGTTCCTTTTGTGAAATACCAAATTATTCTCAATTTCTTTTGAAAGAAAAAGAACTGGAAACGCTGGATAAAGAAATACAAGACTTGGAGAATGAAATCCAGCTACTGGAAAAAGACCTGGAAATTTGGGACTTACAGCTTGTGGTTTTATCACAGGCTATAACAGTATCACAGGCTGTGATAGAAGAAGTGTTGAATAATGTATTCCAAATTGAGGAAGACAAAGAAATGAGGAATACACAGGCTGTGGTTCCTCCACAGCCTCTGGAGGAACCACAGCCTGTGGTTGTGGAGAACCCGCCTGTGATTTTGGAGAACCCGCCTGTGATTTTGGAGAACCAGGCAGTGATTTTGGAGAACCCGCCTGTGATTTTGGAGAACCAGGCAGTGATTGTGGAGAACCAGGCAGTGATTTTGCCTGTGATTTTGGAGAACCAGGCAGTGATTGTAGAGAACCAGGCAGTGATTTTGGAGAACCCGCCTGTGATTTTGGAGAACCAGGCAGTGATTTTGGAGAACCCGCCTGTGATTTTGGAGAACCAGGCAGTGATTTTGCCTGTGATTTTGGAGAACCAGGCAGTGATTTTGGAGAACCAGGCAGTGATTTTGGAGAACCAGCCTGTGATTGTGGAGAACCAGCCTGTGATTGTGGAGAACCAGCCTGTGGTTCCTCCACAAACTGTGGAGGAACCACAGGCTGAGATAAAAAAGAAGACAAAGTTCTTGAAGCATGTAACTACAGGCTTTGCAGCAGCCATAGGAGTCGGATTGATTATTGCGGGGGGAATACGTCTATGGCGAGCATATTCATCATGAATGCAGCTGTGGCGAGGTGACATGAGGAAGACAAAGAAATGAGGAATCCACAGGCTGTGGTTCCTCCACAGCCTCTGGAGGAACCACAGCCAGTGGTTGTGGAGAACCCGCCTGTGATTTTGGAGAACCAGCCTGTGATTTTGGAGAACCAGGCAGTGATTTTGGAGAACCAGCCTGTGATTTTGGAGAACCAGGCAGTGATTTTGGAGAACCAGCCTGTGATTTTGGAGAACCAGGCAGTGATTTTGGAGAACCAGCCTGTGATTGTGGAGAACCAGGCAGTGATTTTGGAGAACCAGGCAGTGATTTTGGAGAACCAGCCTGTGATTGTGGAGAACCAGGCAGTGATTTTGGAGAACCAGCCTGTGATTGTGGAGAACCAGGCAGTGATTTTGGAGAACCAGCCTGTGATTTTGGAGAACCAGGCAGTGATTTTGGAGAACCAGGCTGTGATTTTGGAGAACCAGGCAGTGATTTTGGAGAATCAGCCTGTGATTTTGGAGAACCAGGCAGTGATTTTGGAGAACCAGGCAGTGATTTTGGAGAACCAGCCTGTGATTTTGGAGAACCAGGCAGTGATTTTGGAGAACCAGGCAGTGATTTTGGAGAACCAGCCTGTGATTTTGGAGAACCAGGCAGTGATTTTGGAGAACCAGCCTGTGGTTGTGGAGAACCTGCCTGTGATTTTGGAGAACCAGGCAGTGATTTTGGAGAACCAGGCAGTGATTTTGGAGAACCAGCCTGTGGTTGTGGAGAACCAGCCTGTGATTTTGGAGAACCAGGCAGTGATTTTGGAGAACCAGCCTGTGATTTTGGAGAACCAGCCTGTGATTTTGGAGAACCAGCCTGTGGTTGTGGAGAACCAGCCTGTGATTGTGGAGAACCAGGCAGTGATTTTGGAGAACCAGCCTGTGATTTTGGAGAACCAGGCAGTGATTTTGGAGAACCAGCCTGTGGTTGTGGAGAATCAGCCTGTGGTTGTGGAAGAACCAGGCAGTGATTTTGGAGAACCAGCCTGTGATTGTGGAGAACCAGGCAGTGATTTTGGAGAACCAGCCTGTGATTGTGGAGAACCAGGCACTGATTTTGGAGAACCAGATTGTGATTTTGGAGAACCAGCCTGTGATTTTGGAGAATCAGCCTGTGGTTGTGGAAGAACCCGCCTGTGGTTGTGGAAGAACCAGCCTGTGGTTGTGGAGAACCAGCCAGTGATTTTGGAGAACCAGCCTGTGGTTGTGGAGAACCAGCCTGTTGTTGTGGAGAACCAGGCAGTGATTTTAGAGAACCGGCCTGTGATTGTGGAGAACCAGCCAGTGGTTGTGGAGAACCAGCCTGTTGTTGTGGAGAACCAGGCAGTGATTTTAGAGAACCGGCCTGTGATTGTGGAGATTATTTTGGGTTAAATGTTGGGTTGTTGTGTTGCATGTTTTGATTGGTTGTTCGAGGTCACGTGCCACATGCGCCCCACCTCAGGGACGCAGGTGATCTACATTTCAATGAAGATGTGGCAAGATTAGCAGCAGAGAAAAAGCCATTGGTGCGACACGGCCGGGCAAGATGGCTGGAGAAGACGGCCGGACAAGGCTGGAAGAGCGGCAATTGCGGGATCGCCGCTGGAGGTCTGTTGGGAACCGGAGGATCGGTTGGACCAAGCCGGCCGTGTGGAAACAGTAGAGGACTGCGCCCCCTTTTCCTCGTTTTGGGCCAGTCAAGACTCTCTCACAAACTTGTGTATTGATTTCTTGTCAGGAACTGTCTATGCCTCCTTTTTTAACCAGCTGTTGTTTTTGTAAATAAATTATTGTATCTTTTTATCATCTTGATTGAGACTGTGCACAATCCTTGCAGACTATTATTTTGGTATTGAGACTAAAACCTCTCGACCATTACAGAGCCACAGTCTGAAGTGCGCGGGAGCAAAGTGATTGGAGTGATTTTTCACATCTACCACCAAGCAGAGCATCAGACACAGAGAAAACCTGCCTTAACACCAACCAGGGGAGTTTGACAGTTCTTTTTTCCTAGCTACCAGGGTGTGTGGGGACCAGTGGTATGGATGTTGGTTCTCCAGAACCAGGGGTTCCAGCCAAGCTCCATGTGGGATTTGAGTGTGTAACACTTACGACGTGTTAA